TTGAAGCATTTTGGCCTCTTGGAGGCATCCTAGTGATGCTCTTGTGGGTACTTGGAACCGTTTTGGGAAGCTCTTGGATCGTCTTGGAACATCATGGGGACCATCTTGAGGCATCTTGCGCTATCTTGAGCCATCTTGGAGGTCATCTTGAGCTCCCTGTTGCCCTCTTGGAGCCGTGTTGGGCCATCTTGGACGCTCTGACTACCCGCGGCCCCCCCTGTCCAGGTCAGTGGGGAGGGGGTAGGGGGAGGGGTAGACCCCTCCCCGAAGGGGAAGAAGGAGGGGTGGAAGAGGAAACGCTCTAAACCACCGACGCCCAGAGGGCTGGTGGGATTCCCTCTCTCTCTCTCTCTCTCTTTCTTTCTCTCTCTTTCTCTCTCTCTCTCTCTCTCTTTCTTTCTCTCTCTCTCTCTCTCTCTCTCTCTCTCTCTCTAAACAAAAAAAACCAAAGAAAACTTGAGAAGGCGAAACAAATGTGGCAAAACCGTTGGAAATCAACGATTGCACCCTCTCTGGGCTCTCTCGGGACGGCTCTCGCAGCTCTCTTGGGCTGTTCTTGGAGCCTCGTCCGGGTCTTTTTGGGGCCTCTCAGGGATCCGGGGGGCGTTGGGGGCCTCTGGGGGGTCCCGGAGGCCCTCGCGACGGCAGCGTGAGCCGCCCGCACCGCTGAGGCGACGCCCGTCGCCAGCATGGATCGGATCCGAAGGCCGGCCGCCCGCGAACCCACCGGGGTGACATCGTTTCGATCCAGCGCCGGGGGCGGCGCGTGCGAGATCTTAGCGATCGCCCGCGGCTCCTTGGAGGACGGGCAGCGGGGCGTGGCCGCCAGCTGCTGCAGGTAGCCCAGCACAGGGAAAGCCCGCTGGCTGCACGGGCGCGCGGCGCTGGAGGGGGGCGAACCGCCCGAGGCCGAGTCCGGCACCCGCGCGATCCACTTCGCAAGGGCCTTCCTCCAGATGTTGAACTCGGTGGCGCCAGGGCCGATGATGAACCCGAGGTGCTCGGCTTTGTCCTTTGATGGCCATGCCGGACCAGGGCGGGGGATCCGACTGGGGCCGCGACCGCAGCTCCACGACCTCCTCGGAGAATTCGTCGTCTAACGGGGCCAGGGCGCACGCGTGGAACTTGACATGTAGGCCGGCCTGGGCCCTCGCCGCCTCGAACGCCCTCCAGACGCCCAACAGGGGCTGGCGGGGCTGGGGGGCGCTGCCCACGTCGTCGGCGCACGCGCCAAGCGCCGGGAGGGGCCCCTGTCCGCGCAACGCATCGCGCGGTGGATGAACGGGTTCACCGCAAGGGCGGCCCTGCGCCAACACGCAGGAAGCGCGGGCGAAGTGCGCCGTCGCGCCCGCGAGCTGCGCGCGCGCCGCGGGGGGGCAGCACAGCGGGGGCAGCGCGCGCAGCGGGCCGCCCTCCAAGCCCGAGAAGACGCGCATGCCCGCCGCCCACCCTCGCCATGAGCGACGGGAAGGCGCCCCCGAAGTCGGAGAGAGCGAGCAGCGGCGTCGAGACGGCCCCGTCGCAGATGGAAGCCCGCCGCCCGCGCGTCGGCGCCCAACTGCGCCACGTTGCCGAGGAAGTTGCAACCCTTGAGGAAGCCGCGCTGATGTGCTGGAGAGGCGCTATCCACGGCGCCCTCGATGCTGGCGTTGGCGGCAGTGGCGACCAGCTTGCAGCCCGAGCTCTTCAGGGCGATCGCGCGCGCGGCGCTGGGCGAGCGGCGCGCGCCATCCACGATGTCCTCATCCAGGGGGCCTTTGGGCAGTGCGGAAGGAAGGCCATGAGGTAGTCTAGGGCGGGACTTTGCCCCTCGCGATGTCCGAGGCCGCGCCCTCCAGCACGCAGATCGCAGCAGGGCAGCAGCGCCAGGCGAAGCGCAGCAGACTGCCGGGGCCAAGAGCGGATTCCCTAGCACGAGCAGCGGCGCGCGTCAGCTCGAACCTTTCGGGCGGCAAGATCCCCTCCACCGGTAGCTTGGGCGCGCGCTCCTCCACGCACTTCAGAGCCAGCCGCTTCCAACCGTCCACCGGCGGCTTGATCTCCGAGATGGGGGCCCAGTGGTCGCGCAATGCCTCGATCATGTCAGTGGGTTCGGTGAGAAGCTTATGGCCCGCGTCATCGAGAATATTGGCCCCCTGCAGCTCGAGCGTCCTGCCGAATGACGCCCAGAGGGCAGCGCGCCCGGTCAGCTCACCGCGCATGGCGTTGTTCACCGTGAAGGACGACGCGTCGAACGCCCTCGCCCCCCGCTCGGCAAGTGCGACGGCGCGGGGTTTGTCGCGAGGGGCCCCCGGTAATGGATAACTTATTATAATCAACCACGCGCGCAACATATTGTTCGCAAGGGATGATAAACGGGGGGGAAGGGGTCGACGCTGGCAGGGCTGGGATGGCGCGGGTTCATATTTAAAACGAACAACGGGGAAGCATCGAATGAAATTGCACATCCCCACGGCGAACGGATAATTCAAAGGGGGGGGGGGCAGACCCGGATTCCTTGTTAGAAAAAAGACTGGGATGGTATGGATCCATCACAAGACTGGGATGGTATGGATCCATATCTAAAATGGACAATTGGGCAGATTCGTCTGACATTTTCACATCCCCAGGGCGAACGGATAATTGGGGGGCGGTCGATCCGAATTATTATTTTTCGATTAAAAAGGGAACTTAGGTCGTGCGATATATGCAATCTGTGGTGAGCGAGCTATGTTGTGCGTCTTCATGGTGCAATTTTTCGCATGCGTTCTAGGAAGTGCGGTCTACGCGGTGCAATTATTTCCCTACCTAGGCTCTGCCTAGAGGGTTCTTACCCTGTATCTTAAAGGGGCCGGGCAATGGAACGCGCCCCGAGCGGTTCCCCCGGCATCCGCCCCGCTCCGTCTCCTTAGCTTAGCGTTGCTTATATCATCTTACCTTAGCTAATTTCATTTTAGTTTAGCTTAGCTTCATCTTAGCTCAGGTATGTCTTAGCTTAACGTACCTACAGTTTAGCTTACCTGTGCTCTAACATAGCAGAGCACATCATAGCATAGCATAACATCGCGCAGCTTAGCATAACAGAGCTTATCCTGGCATATCATAGCATAGCATAACATAACGCAGCATAGCATGGCATAGCATAGCATAGCGCAGCAAAGCATGGCATAGCACCGCATAGCATAGCAACGAATGCTGCTTTCCTCAGGGGCTCCAGCTTCTAGGTAGGGCCGCACTGGGGAAATTTGTGAAATCTACGTTTTGCAATATGCGTGGTGCAATTCACCCTGCCGAACTTGATTGTAGCAAAACCACTGCTCGCGCAATCATCCGACCGCCCACCCGCAACTAGGCTTGCGAAGCCCAAGCTGCGGCGATTGCGAAGGCTGCTCGGCGCCTGCTGGCGCATCGCTGCGGCTGCGCTATTGCGCGAAGGCTCGCGCGCATATCGGCCAGCTGGTCTGTAGCGACAGACGCGGCCGCGGTGGCGCTGACCGCCGGGCAATTCCCAGCGCGTCGCAGGCCGCGCTGACGCGCGGGCACTCCAGTGCGAGGCAGTGATGTGGGCGAGCGCGGTATCACGGCGACGTCGACAACGGCAGACACAGTGTTGATAGAAGCTGATGGCGATGATGGCCATGACGACGGCACGGCACTATGTTAGGTTATGGGATCATCTGACAGGGATCATGCCTCCCCCAACGCGCGCGAAAAGGCGTTCGAATGACTTCGACAAAAGCGCGCGACTGACCCGATTGGTCGCAATTCATGAACGTGGTTTACAAACTTGGGTTCCCGGGGAATTCGCAAGAGCGCGAGCTGATCTTTGTTTGCTACTCTAAGTGCGAAACAATATGTTGCTGTATGTTTTCGGCGCGCTAGATTTTGAAAACCTTGCGAAACCGAAAAGCTCGAAACAAACATTCGGCACGCGCGCGAAGCGTCGCGCGCGCGTGCATTTCGCCCCGCCTCTGTCGCCAAGGACTCCAAGAACCTGAAGATTGTTGATCAACGAATGTGCGCGCATCGTGTTTTTTTCTATTGCAAGGGATGTAAGGGGGGCAATACCTGTTTGGAGGATGGGATCGTATGCGTCTACAAAGAAAGATGGGGCAACATCGTGTATAAACGGCGCATACCCAGAGGGGGCGGATAATCCCGGCCTCGGAGGGGTGGTAGACATTAACTCGGTTTCACCAAAGAGAGTCTATATTGTGCAAAACAAGACACGCACCCTATGGTGCGAGCGGTTCAAAAGCGTGCCTCGAGCGCCGAAACAAAAACTTCAAACCATGTGTTGCGAAATAGATGGTGTGTCAGACATGTTGTGCATTCTATGTGGTGCAACCTACGCGGTGCATTATATATATATGTATATATATATATATATATATGTTGTACAATCTCTGTCGCGCAATCTATGTGGTGCCAACCATGCTGCACACTGTACGTGTGTCGTGCAATCGATGTTGCGCAACATATGTGGTTGTGCGACCGATCTATGTGGTGCACGATGTGAGGCTGTGCGCTCTGTGTGGCGAAATCTGCGTTGTGCAATCTGTGTGGTGTAATCTCTGCTGCGGGCGATCCACAAACGCGCCGCCGGCACGACGCTTTTTTTTTCGTGCAGTCTACGCGGTGCAATAACGGCGGTCATGGGTGGCGACGGGCGGCGACGAGGCCGCGACGGGGCGGCGACGGCGGCCACAGAGTGCCAGGCCGAAGACACGGCCCAGACGACGAGGCGGCGACGAGGCGGCGACGGGGCGGCGACGGCAGCCACATAGCCTCGAGACCGAAGACACGGCCCCCGTTCCTCAGGACAGACGCAAGGACCCCTCAGCGCAAGCACTCCCTGGGGAGCACTCAGGACATGTGTGGGCATGCCTGTACGTCTGCAGTATGCAGGCATGCGCGCACGTCTGCACGTGCAGTTTGACATGTGCATACTAAGCGTGGGAGCGTGCGCAGATCAACGAATGAAGTAGCAGAAGTCAGGGCTCGGCTCCCCGCCCCCTCGCCCGCAGCTTGTTCTTCTTCGAGACCACCTCCCACACGCTCTTCCCGAAGAGCTCCTCCGAAGCGGGCGCCCCGGGGGCGCGGCCGGACGGGCGCACGAGAGGCGCGAGGAGGCGGCGGGCGGCACTCGGGGACGGGCGGCGCTGCTTCGGGGTGCGATAGCGTGCCATCGTTCGGCCGTCCCTTCCCCGTGCATGTGTCGATCGCGTGGGTGCTTGCTTTTTCTAGGGGGCAAACAAACCTACCTCGCTTTTGACCACCATCGCTTCCAAGAGATACCAAGCGGTGCCAAACTACGGCCTGTACTGGTTAGGCCGCTTGACGAGGAGGCTCGTGGTATGACTTGGTTTTGCCTGGAAGCGAAAGCGGGGTAGGTAATTCACGCTCTGATTTTCGCTGGATGATCCAAAGTGCTCCTAGTTGGGTCAGATATCATGGCGCTGGCCTTGCGGAAAAAAAACCTCACATCCGCGCGACACCGAGATAAATGGGGAGGGAGATACGTGAACCGTTCGTGCCCAAGGGACCCCACTTAGGGCCCCGCTGGGGCAGAAGATGTGCCCCCCCCATGTTACGCAACGCCCAACGTTTTTTTAGCAAAACGCCCTTCAGTGAAAGCGTCTTGGGGCACACCACGTGCACACGGTACCGCATTTCGAATCCACCCCAGAGGTGGCTAATCGACGTCCGAAAACTACCATAGCGAAACCGACTGAAGACTGCACTGGCACACTCTAGTGCCAATGTCGAGTGAACCAGTGCAGATCGCCTTGTTTGGGTGGGCGCTCTCCCAATGCCGGAGGCAAGCAACAAGTGCCGGCGAGCAGGCAAGAAGACGCCAGCGGGATGGGAAACGAGCGAGAGAGAAAGAGCGAGAGAGAGAGACAGAGAAAAGGCGCACAATCCTCCCTCACCTCGGCCGTGCCGCTCTTCCTCCCCGTCCTCCTCCCAACAGCCGCGCCGCTCTTCTCCGCTCCCTCGGCCGAGCCACATAAGACGAAGGAGGAGGAGGAGGAGGAGGAGGAGGAGGAGGAGGAGGGGGATGATGATGATGATGATGATGATGATGATGATGAGGAGGAGGAGGAGGAGGAGGAGGAGGAGGAGGAGGAGGAGGAGGAGGAGGAGGACCCTCCCCCAAGGCAGAACGCAAGACGGAAACAGCACCGGAGAGTGACACGCCGGGGAGGATGAGGCGGAGGAGGAGGAGGAGGAGGAGGAGGAGGAGGAGGAGGAGGACCCTCCCCCCAAGGCAGAACGCAAGACGGAAACAGCACCGGAGAGTGGCACGCCGGGGCCTCCGAGAGCCAGCGGGGTCCGGAAGGCGTGCGGCGTCAGAGGCAACAGCTCGGACCTCCGAGGGCAGTCCGGGGTCCGGAGTGCGCGCCGCCTGCCGCAGCGGTTCCATGGGTGTTCCGCCCTGAGCGCCGTCCTCCGAACCATCTTCGGCACGAGCGAGATGGGTACTCCAGATTTCGTAACAAAGGGAGGGGGGTCTCATTTCGGGGGGGGTCTCTTCCAGGCTATCTTGGAGGGCCTGGGGGGTCTGGGGACGATGTTTTGGAGGGTTCTCCCACGGGGGAGGTCTGAAATGGCTTGTCTTGGAAGGTCCAGACCCCCTCCATTCTATTACGAAATCAGGAGTACGGAAAAAATGGGTACAGTGCCCAACAGCGGCCCCTGTTCATTTTGAACAGGACTCGCTGTCGGTGTCGCCGCGGCCTGTGTACATTTGAGACAGAAGGCCGTCTGCCCAACAGCGGCCGCTGTTGGTTTGGGACAACACCTGTTGTTGGGCACTGTGCCAATTCATTCCGTACCCATTTCGGGCGTCCAAACCTTTGGGGCGGTTCACCGCTGCCCTCGGAAAGGGGAAGAGGAGAAGGCCCACGCGCATGGCCAACCAGGACAATTGGACAGCTGGAGACGGGCGTGGTCTAGTCAGGCTTGCCCCGGCGCCATCTCAATGGTCCTCCGGCGCCTCGGACAGGCCCAGGAGCGCGAGCTGGCAGTCACGAGTGGTCCTTGGCACTCACGTCTGGTGATTTGCCGCAGAAAGGCTGCTTGAGTTCGAGGTCGTTGCCAGGAGTTGTCCTTTACACCCGACGGCTGCAACACTAAAGACCGACGAGGGAAGAAAAATTGATCGGAAGGAAAGACGGAGGACTTGATAACGGAACAGGGAAGGAACGAAGGAGAAAAAGACTGCATGACGGACATTGAAGACTTTTTGAACTCGGCCTTGCGTTGCA